GATCGCCTCTGTCATTATTACCGTCAGGATGCTGATGAAGCGCGTTTGGTCGCATATCTTTACTGACGGTGTTCTTACCACAGTGAAGTTTCAGGAGCTGCCACCCGCGTATGTCGCGAAGTCACGTTACAGCAGACTCCAGGTCTCCTTCCTGCAAGAAGCAGACGCGACTAATGTCAAACAAATGATTGTGGACCATAAGCGACCGAATGGCTTGACTATTCACTGCTTCTGGCTTCACCAGGAAGATCCGGCTTTCATCCGAACAAAGGCGGCTAACCCGCAGATGCTGGAAGTCTACTTTAAGGGTGTACCTGCTGACATTCCGCCGGAACTGGTCAAGGATGTGATGGTTGTCCATCAGTTGAAAGTACGCAAACGGTCCGCGTTCAGCGAGGGTCATTGCTTCCACCGCGTGCTACATCCGGTCACTGGTGCAGACACTGATAAGATCAAGGGTCTGGTGGTCCCGCACGCGGGGGACAAACATCGCTGGCGACACGAGTTTCGCCACCAGCTGCTTGGTGGAACGTCGCTGCTGGCCCACTACCCCTTGCTATCCTGCACGCTCTGTGGTGGACATCACTATGACAAGTTTCATGATGTCTATGTCACGGAGCGTCAGAATAACATAGGGAAGTGGAGTCTCACAGTGGGTCGGGTACACAGGATTAACGGTAACAGCCTCTTACAGTTTTGTTGTCGGGGTTATTCTTGCTGTCTCTTACCTTCCTCGGCTTCTGACCTCTTGCTTGCCTCTCGCAGCTGCTTCTCTCCGCACTTCTCCGCTTGTCACCCCTCTCCTCATGGATGCGGCCTTTGTTCTGATCTCGACGGGGAGCAACAGGGAGGAGTGGCTGTGCACCCAAGCCAGCTGCGGGAAAGCACACGGCAAATCCTTCATGACTGCTGCAGACCATGTCACCTCTGCAAGCCACCTGCTGGGGTTAGAGAAGCTGGGTGCTGCCACTCGTCTCTCCCTCGAGAAGCTGAATCTGAAAACCATCCGCAAGGAGTACGGGATCTAAGTGATGATCTGGATCGACTTACCAGTGTCTCTTCGACTGTAGCCGTTGTTTGTTCTGTCATAGCCGTTGCATATTTCACCAGCCTGTGGATGAGGGGAGGCTGCCAAGCAGTGATCAAATGAGTACAAAAAAACTTCTCACAGTAGCAGGCCTGAATGTGAACGGCCTGGGAGACGGGAACAAGCAACAGCGTACGAAGAACTGGATCAGACAAGCAGCTGACATCACTATACTATCAGACTCTAGACTAGCAGATGACCACCCATACTGGAACTCTCTCAAACAGCCTAGGACCTTAGTTGCTTCACCAACTGCCAAGGCCGGGGGTGTAGCGCTGATCTGTCGCAGACAAGGCTTATCACTTCATAACATTCTGATTCACTCGTCAGGCCGACTGATCAAAGCTGATGTGCAACTTGACGCCTTCCACATCACCTTAGTAGCGGTGTACTTTCCGGCGGACGCGTCGGAGCGAAAAGCCTTCATCCGTCGGGTCCTGGGCCCAGTGGTTGACGGCGTACCACCTGGCGCTCACCTGCTTGTCCTCGGAGATCTAAATCTGGTGGAGGATCCGCTGCTGGACAGGACCTCCAGGAAAGGGACGACCAAAGAGAACGACGAGTTGTACCAGCGCTGCAGTGCTTTTCGTTTATCGGATGCCTTTCGTGTTCTGCATCCCTTCAAACAGGAGTTCACTTTCTACTCACATGCCTGTCAGACCAGCTCGCGCATTGATCGTGCTCTCATCTCGCAGTCTCTGCTATCGCATGTTGAGCTCGCCTCCCACATCATGCCTGCTGACCCAATCTCGGACCACAGCTTCGCGATTAAGGTGGCCTTCAGGATGAGCACGCAAGTGCAGACGGGACCGGGCCTTTGGAGACTACCTGCATACATGGTGGGGAGACCGGGTGTCAGAAAGGTGATCGAAAGAGTGTCGAGTCAGATGGAGAAATCGGGCGACAATTACGAGCTGCTAATCGCGAGACTGAACGCGGGGCTCAAGGCTTACGCCAGGGAGGAGAGAAAGAGAGTTCGCGCCACGATGACCTTCCTTCAACAGGCAGTTGCTGATCTGAAACAGGCGTGGCTGGGGGACCCGAGCTGTGTCCGGCTGAAAGACCTACTGGGTGAAAGGGAGCTCCAACTGAGAAGCTATCAGCAGTCGCGGCAGGAGAGAATGCACGTGATGGCCGGGATGAAGGAGGTGACGTTGGGTGAGATTGCATCACCTTTCCTATCTGCGAAGATTAAGGGCCGGAAGGAACGCACACAAATCACGGAGTTAAACGTGGGAGGCACTATGGTCAGTGACAATAAAAGCATTTTGGGTGCAGCTTCGCAGTACTACCGGCAGCTGTTTGGAACAGACAGACAGACGGTCTTATCTGAGTGGGAACCCCCGGCGGACAGAAGATTGTCGTCGGCAGTGGCGGAGTCGTTGACTGCCGAGTGGTCGGAGGAGGAGGTTAAGAGCGCGTTTCAGTCGATGACGAAAAACAAGGCTCCTGGCCGGGACGGCTTGCCAAAGGAGCTCTTTGAAGTGCATTGGGACATCCTGGGCAAACACTTCATGTCCCTGGTGAAAAACTTCTCGGACACGGCGTCCCTCCCAGCCTCCACCAAGGACGCGGTGACCATCCTGCTGCACAAGAAAGGGGGGAGGGATCAGCTGGAGAACTATCGCCCTATCACATTGCTCAGCTTCACCTACAAAGTGATAGCGCGGGTGGTAGCGGACAGGATGAAGAAAGTGCTCTCAGAGGTAGTCTCACCGGAGCAGTTTGGCTTCTTACCCGGAAGGAGGTTGTCGGACGCTGTGGGGCTGGTGGCGGACATTATCGAAGCGGCCAAAAATAAAGATAAAGATTGGTACCTCCTGCTCGTTGACTTCAGGAAGGCCTTCGACTCGGTGTCGAGGGGATTCCTGTTTACGGTGCTGGAGAAGATGGGCTTCCCCCCCCGTTTTGTCGGTTGGATTCGAGGCCTGCATGAGAACACACGGACAAGCTTGTTGGTTAACGGTTGGATTGGTGAGGCATTCGAAGTGGTCTCGGGGGTGCGTCAGGGTTGCCCCCTCGCGCCTTACCTGTTTTTGTGCGCGGTGGAACCGCTGGCGCAGGAAGCGGCGAACCGAAGGATAGGCATTTCCGAGGGTGATCAGCAGCTGGCGTACCTTGGTTATGCCGACGACACAACTCTTATCCTGGAGGGGGAGGAGCAGATTGCAGCAGCAGAGAAGTTGTTAGAGGAGTTCGCAGGGGAATCAGGCCTCGCTACTAACAAGGAGAAGTCAGTTGTCTTACCGCTGGGGTCGAATCTGGGCAAGCAGCCCTGGAAGACCGATGGCTTCAAATGGGCGAAGGCTGATGAGGCTGAAAGGCTACTGGGAGTGTGGGTGACTCCTGCCGGAAGCTGCAATCCCAGATGGGAGAAGGCTTTCGCACAGATTAAGCGGAAATTGTCGCAGTGGGAGGCGCAGCACCTCACAACCGGCGCGCGTGCTGCGGTGATAAACTGCTACATCTCACCGATAATCTTCTTTCAGGCTCAGGTGTACCCGCCACCGGTGGATATTTGGGGGAGGATACTGAAACTGACGCACAACTTCATGTCGGGAAATCGGGCCTCTACCGACAAGGAATTCATACTGTGGAGTAGAGAGCTGCTGTACATGGCCAGAGAAGAGGGGGGCGTCGGTGTGAAGGACCCGGAAATCGCACTTACCTGCCTAATCGCCAGAAAGATCGGGCTGCTGCTCACCGAGACAAACGCGCTGAAACGCGACATCATGCTCCAGGCTGCGGACTTGCCGCTGGGAATGGATACCTTCGTCGCTCACGTGAAGCTGCTCAAATGCTGGCGCGGGAAAAGCGAGCGGTGGAAGCTTGCGTGCGCTAACTTCATGCAGTCGCCGCTCGCCAGCACGCTGCTTGACTTATCACGGGAGGAAGTGGCGAGGGAAAGGATCGTTTTCAATCGCCATATCCTGATGAAAGGCACGACCCCGGTGGGCAGCCAGAAAGCCGCGGAGAAATTGTGGGAGGTGCGTCTGGGAGACCTGCTGACTGCGGGCGGTGACGGGAGTTGGCATGTAAAGGATGATAAAACCCTAGCGAGGGAGCTCGGTGGCTCAAAGCAGGCGAAACTTGCTCTACGGGCGTGGGAAGCAGCACCGCAGAGCTGGAAGCTGCTTCTCCTCTCAGCCGAGCAATCTGGCGCACCTGCCACCCAGCTCCGCACTCCGCTCCAGCGCACAGCGGCTTTCAGTGGCGGGGGGCTACCATCGCTGAAGGAGCTGAAAGGGAACTGGCAACAGCCGAAACATCAATCAGCCAAACGGGAGCTCTGGGCGGGCAAATGGGCAGGAGTTATCGACTGGAAAAGGGTTGTGAAAATTCGGGACTCGCTGGTGACACCGAACCGACCGCGTGATGTGCTGCTGAGAATCCACAGTCTCAACCTCCAACTGGGAGAAAGGCTTTCTTTCTTGAGTGGAAAGCCGATCTGCCCGCACTGCGGGGAGTTTGAGACCCTTGAACACTGCCTCTACACCTGTCCAAGAATCCAGACGGTGGTGGGGGCAGTTCGGAAGGCTCTGCGCATGCTGAATCCGACAAGGCAAGTTGACAGCTTGGGTGACATACTGTTTGGCAATACCGCTTCCACCTCAGCTTTTCCGGAAGCGTCTCTCTCGGCAATTGCAATACACCAGATTTGGGCAGAGCGGTGCGATTGCGTGTTTCGAGGCAAGAGATTTCGAGCCAGACGGGTACTGAGGAGGATTGAAGCAGCTTTCAAGCTACATGTGCGGGTGTATACTCGGGCAACAGGGAAAAACCTGGGCATGAAGGGCAATTTGAAACAGAGCGGGAAGACGTACGCGCTGGCAGATCAGGAGTGTCGGCTCCTTGGACGTATCCGGACTCTGGAAGGCAAAGGCTGGAAATGGTCCCGTCACTTTGGCGCGCTATGGAATCTTGCGCGAGGGGCACTACATCCCCCTTAGAGTCATCCCTTGAGGCAGGCGCGCTGCCGGGCCTCTCACGCTCAGTTACGACTGATATATGTTTGTGTGCACTAGCATCATCGGTGTATATTTAACATATAATAATAATAATAAAAAAAAAAAAGTACGACCGAGAAATATCTTGGTCGTGGCGTGTGGCAGGTGGGGCGCGTGGGATCTCGGTTGAAAAACAGAATCCCGCGCTGACTCACGGAACAAAAATTGCGCGCGAATGTCTGGCCGCATAAAAGAATGATTTTGCCGCAGGTACAATTCGGTTGTTCACGTCATCAAACAGTTAAAACCGTTTTACAGCTGTAAACTCGCATGAACTTCATGTGAGGCTTATGGGAGCCATATGGGAGTCACATGAAACCGCAAATGTTCATGTGAGGAGTCAGCAATGGAATTGTCTTGTGTTACAAGAGAAGAAAAAAGGCAACATCCTAAGAAATTATGCAACCGTTTTCTAGTACAGCGTGGCAAAAATCAAGACCTTGTTCTACAACTACTTTTATGCCTGCCTTTGTGTATGCGTAGGATTTTATATTTGTATGTGCCTGTAATTGTTTATGCATACAACAACTATTTTTCATTTCGTCTTTCAAGTTCATTTTCTACTACTACGCATTGACGTGAGTAGAATCGCTACCGTGGTGCTGCCGAAACTCTGCTCGACCAGCTTACTTGGCTTACAGGCTGAGAAAGGCATAACTACTCGCTTGCAATTTTTCTACGGCCTTGGCTAGGAGGTGACAAGCCGTCACGCTCGAAGGGCTGCAAGTGATGTTAAGTGTTGCCGAGTACAAGCTTCTAATACCAGTTTAAACGCTTCTGCATAATGTTATAGCTATTTACAAATTTAGCTTGCAATTTGCCGTATCATCATAGCACTGTACGCTTATTTTAAAACCCATTTCTTGCCTGGTGTAAGGAAAATTCTTTTTCCTTACTTCGCGTCCCCGTTCAGCGAGTTCACCACTGTAGCACCACAGTCAGCACCGTTACCATTCGCAACCCTTGCATCGACAATTCTCCCGCCACCTTCGCACGTCGCACCCCGACCTCACGGCTCGGCGGGTAACCCGCGCTCCAGACCTCCGCTTCGACATTTCCCCAAACCTCAGTCCCAGGCCCGTCGCGTGACAACCACAGTCCATTACCGTTACCACTGTAGTTTCGCTATATATTATTCGCTCATGCCTTCGCTCATTGTATTCTTGCTTCGATAGTGCAATTCTCGCTCGATCACTCAATTGCACTCGTAACACCTGGTTTTGCTCTGGCAGAAAAAAACCCTTGCAAGCGCCACACATTCCCAACCACTCGTTTTTTTACCAGCGCCTCAGATCCTTCCGTTCTCCCGCTGTCAACTCAAATTCTCCGCTGACTTGGATTCTTGAATTTGAGCACCTGCTCTACTCTGCTCCTCTGCCTGTCGCTTTGGTACTGTGCGCTACGTTCCGTTTCCCTTCCCAGCCATCAACTCGAACTCCTCCTGCTCTCTCTGCCATTTTCTCCCAGCTATCATCCAGCTATCGCATTTTACTAACACCCAGCCATCGCCTCTCCCTCTTATCCCGTAGTCGCCCCTCCCTCCTACCCTGCCGTCGCAATTCCCTCCCATCCCGCCGCCACCTCTCACCCCGTCATCGCCTCTCACTCCCACCCCCGTGTCGCCTCTCCCTCACTCCCCACCATCCCCACTCCTTCCTATCCCGCCATCTCCACTACCTCCCACCCCACCGTCACCAGTCCCTCTTATCCCGCCGCCGTCTCTTCTCCCATCCGGCCGTCGCCTCTCCCTCCTCCCCGCCGTCGCCTTTCCTTTCTCCCCGCCGTCGCCTCTCCCTCCTCCCCGCCGTCGCCTCTCCCTCCTCCCCGCCGTCGCCTCTCCCTCCTCCCCCCCGTCGCCTCTCCCTCCTCCCCGCCGTCACCTCTCCCTCCTCCCCGCCATCGCCTCTCCCTCCTCCCCGCCGTCGCCTCTCCCTCCTCTGCGCCGTCGCCTCCTTCCCTCCTCGTCTTCGCCTTTTTTCCCCTCCCCGCCGTCGTCTCTCCCTCCTCCCCGCCATCGCCTCCGGCGGCAGGTGCATGAGCGCAAGCGCGAGTATTGGTGTGCGAGCGCGGGTTGGTGCGCCAGCGCGGGTTGATTTCTGAAACACCTTGTTTATCAGGTGCGTTCTCGGTCCTTTCATCCTCCCTTCCCCCACTGAATTCTCCTCCCCCCCTCCCTCCATCACAAAAAAACGAGCTTTTGAAAGTTACGGCAAAGCAAGTTTGCGGTAGCTTTGTGGTTGGTTTGGAATCGGGTACCTTGGGGTTGCTGGCAAGGTTACATCGAAGCTGCTTCTGGGCTCGCGACGCATCGGGAAAAAAATGACGACGAATCTGTGCCGCACATCTAAAAAAACTTAAAGCTACTTCAGCGTAACTTTGGTTATGGTTTCGCTTCGACAACACACGGAAATATAATCTGTGCCGCACATCTCAGCAATCTGAAAGCTACTTCAGCGTAGCTATGAATCTGAGTTCAACCTTCCAAAACACGTGTCTTGCGCTTATTCCCTCCTGTGCGAGAACAGAAAGCCGTAAGCCTATCGGAATCGCTGACACCAATAGACCCCATTGGCCGATTTTGCTAGACGTCATCAAACCGCACGATGGCACACAGTTCGCGTAGGGGTGAAACGAATAGGGTAACAACCCTTCTTTAGCTGCTGGCGAAACGGAAGCGTTACTGGTTACTCAAAATGTTTCAAGATTAGTGGACTTTCTTCTTACAGATAACATTAGCATAACAGGGTAACAATGTTTTGATTACCAATATACAACCCGACATATAATGCATCAAAATGTGGGCTATATCATTTTTCCGGACAGCTCATTATATTTACCATGACACTAATAATTTTAATTGCATTTGCTTCAAACTTAATGCACAACTACATGCAAGCATTCAAGGATACCTTAGTGTTACGTCCAGCTAAAACAACACCTAGGGTATGTACAGAACTTTAAGTGCCCTGCACAATAAGACCAATAGATGTTAGAAAACAAAAAGTGCTGAACGAAGAGCTCACTTACAACTCTAGCCCTTCCAAACTCTTCACTGCCGCTGAGTGAATAACAAGCGACCTGCAAAACAATATCAAGGAAACAAAAACAAACGCCGAACCAATCTTCACTAATCGACTGGCGTGAGTCACAGGGGAAGCGGGTAACGATGAACTCACAACGAACCTGGGCAAAATGTCCTTCTCGAACGCACGTAGGTCCGTGAGGCTTGCACACGTCCTGCAAAAATGCATAAAAGACAAAAAAAAAAAACCGTTCAGAACACGTGGACACGGGAAACGATCAAACCGATAATCGTGTCACCTAACCATGCATAGGTAGAAAACAAAAAAAGGAACATGCACAGCTGGAAAGTGGAAATACCTGTTAATATGCATGCTTACGCACCACTTGACTGTCGCGCAGCATCCGCTCGGCGCACGACCCGTGCCAGTAGCGCGCGCATAAGTTTTGGTACAGACACGCGTCGGAGCGGAATATATACGCGCGTTTGGGGAGCAGGCCGAGGGATGCGCGCAGCTCCTGCACATGGAGAAACGAGCATAGAGAGAAATGGTGAGCGCGAAAGCGAGGAGAAAGATAAAATGAGTGCGGAAGCGCGAAGAAGAAAAATGAGAGATCTGAACGGTAGCATCGTCGCTCTCGGGAATACCTGCGAAAAGGGTGAAGTGGCACTACTGAAGTCGACGTTACGAGAGAACATGACGCGGGGACGCAGGGTAGATTACCTAAGGAGTGGAGCAGACACACCAACAGAGCACTATCAATCGACTGGCACTCAGTTTGCCGAAAAGAACAGGTACGCAGTGGAGAATGAACAAGGTTGGGGGGGGGGGGGCGTTCTGAGGCTTTGAGTCTGGGGAATTGGGGAGCGAGGGGAAGTCGAGTTGGCTGCGGGTAGGCAAAACGAAAAAATACAAAACAAAAAAACAAAAAAACAAAAAACAGAAAATCGACGAGAAAACTAAGGCTAGGGGCGTAGCATTTGAGACACCCACCACGGGACGGGCAGCATATAGTGACAAGTTCAAACGAAATATGCAAACAACCACCACTGTCGCCAGCACATCACGCGAACCAGTAGGATGTGAGCATTCTGGTGAAACTGCACCAGCGCATCAAGCGAACCTGTTGGATGTGGGCGTTTTTGGTGAGCTGTGGCGACCGTAAAGAAATGTGCTGGCGCACATGATTCAGAACAATTCCATTCGCTGGAAGCATTTGGGTAGAATCGCGCTGGAATCCAGATGTGCGTTGGCGATGTCGGTGAACCATAAAGCACCTGGTGCAACGCGATTTTAGCGATGATAAGTGTCAGAATCCCAACCACTAGACCATTGGGATTAAAGGGCTTGTTAAGTAGCGGGTCAGTGCGCCCATAACCCCCCAGGCCAACATGCCTGTAACCCTTCCCTAGGATCAATCGGGGATCACCAGTGGACCTCTGTCACCCCCCCGCACTGGGATGCCCGAAGTGCACACACTGGGATTCGAACCCGAGACCTTCGCTCTGATACCATGTCAGAATCCCAACCACTAGACCATTGGGATAAAAGGGCTTGTTAAGTAGCGGGTCAGTGCGCCCATAACCCCCCAGGCCAACATGCCTGTAACCCTTCCCTAGGATCAATCGGGGATCACCAGTGGACCTCTGACAATAAGTGCCAGCTCGACAAATTTGGTTCTTCCAGCGTTGCTGTTGAGTTGTAAGACGTTCACATGGTACACAGTTATTCAAACAAAATTCCACCCATTTACAGCACTCTTTCAGTCTGTGTCTCTTTCTGGGAAACAGTCCAAAAAAACACAAATAGTCGCTAATAAATACAATTTCGGACCCTTCGCACCAAACAGCCGAATCAGTGTGGGGTTCATGACTGTTTTGTATCTGTATCCTCAAATATACATATCTTCCATAATAAAACATGGGAATTCCTCTTGATATATATGTCTTATCTCTAGGCGTTATAAACATATATTGTTCTATAATATGCTAAAAAAATATACATGTGCATGCGTACATAAATCTCGTATAATTAGTGTGACTATTATACCTTTCTCGTTTCTGCTAATTATTCAACAAAAGTATTCTAGAAAATGTCTGTAAGAATAGGCCTGATCGGAAAATTGCGCCATTCTTAGATATACTGGTTATAAAAATTGTGCGAAGAAAACTGTGTGCAAAGGCATGTGCGACACGTGGTGTCGTTTCAGCTTCCGATGTGAGTTTGAACAATGTTTCCCTTAATCATTCATTTGTGCTCTATATTGCCGACATGGTGAACATCTTTGTTGTCATTCGTAGCGTATGGTAGGAAGATATTCCTGTTCCAAACAATTGAGGAGAGAGAACTGTGCAGAAATATACCTATACAACACGTGGTGCCGAAATCACATGCGTTTGCTGGCCTGAATCTGTGCAAGGATAGGCCAGTGCGCTACATGTCACCGTTTCAACATTTGGACGTTATTTTTAACACTATTTCTTCAGAAAGTCGGGTAGTACGACCTATTTTCTTCCCATAGAAACTGGTTAGAGTTTGTTCGCCCAAATACGCAGCACGTGACGCTAGTTTGTGCGTTCGCGGGCCTGAATCTGACAATGATAGGCGAGTGCGCAACATGTGACCGTTTCAACATTTGGACATTATTTTTAGCACTATTTCTTCACAAATTCAGGTAGTACATCCTATTTTCTTCCCATAGAAACTGGTTTGAGTTCGTTCGCCCACATACGCAGCACATGAGGGTGCTGCTGCACCTGCCACTGAACCTGCTGCTGCGGCTGTCCCTGCCGAGGCTGCTGCTGTTGGGATTGCTATTGCTGCTATGCCGTAGACCAAGCATCCGCTCCAGCACCCCCTCCCGTCGAGCCTGCAGGCACATGACCACCTTCAGTGCCGCCTTCACCAGACGCACTAGTGCCACCAGTATCTCCGCCACCCCCTCCACCACCCTTCCGCCCTTTCTTACCTCCCTTGCCCCTAGGCCGCCCACCCGTGGTAAACATGGGTGCAGTCTCATCAAAATCACGAAGCACAGTAGAGGCAAGAAAAGCAGTGCAGGTGGGGAGCTGTGGGACAATAGACCCCTGAAAGGGGGGATTTACGGTGCCAGAAGCGGAGGCAACAAAGTGGAGGTTGCTCTCAACATCCTTGAGTGCTGCCTCAAGGACGTCGATAGTGAGCGCAATAGGGTGCTTTCAAAGAAGCGCGTCGCTTATAGGTGCTAGGCAGTCAGGAGGGCTAGTGAGTATGAAGTTAATAGTGATTGGTATTGTTATAGTCACAATAGGCTTGAATGTGCCTAAAATGAAAGATAGAGAGCACAGACGGATTTCTGCACAGCGGCTTCAAACGTTGATAGCGTTCTGCTCACAGCTGTAAATGACTTGATTCAAATTGGATCTGGAGCGTCTTCACGTCGTCTACAATTAGCAATTTAGATTGCACGATTTGATAAAGAATTGACGACACAGCGTCGGTTTGAACGAACGGTACTATGGCAGCCACTATAGTCTTAGAACACAAGATAGGAAGAGTTACGAGTTGGGAATGACTCCCAGCTCCTACAAACCCCAAGAGCCGAGGTACAGTGATGTGGAACAGTGCCACACTGTCCCCAACCACGAAGGGTCTCGAAACTACCCTTCACTAGGGCCTACACCAAGTGAAATGTTACACTACACAAAGTAATGTAACTATCTTCAATATCTTGAGGTGTACCCTTTTGGCAAGCTTCGAAATCACTTGAGGCTTGACACCAAGGCTCGGGCTCTTCATCACAAACTCATCCTTGAGTTCTTGATGGGTCTGCTGCACACACCTGCGACACGCCGAACGTTCGAGACAGGACAAAATAGAAACCGCGCACGACAAAATAGAAACCGCGCGCGAGACACAAACGACCGCGTAACACGCGTCTAGCGATAACTCGCTATTGACTCGACACACACACTCGACATCATGACTCAACATTCACACACAATTATAAGCATGAAATATATATTATCCCATGCCC